TTCCAGTAAAGCCGGTCAAGACAGCTGGTCAAGAGGAATTCGCCGTCGTCTTCTGGTGGAACCGACCTTCTAATATCTTCACCCAACACTTCTACTCGAAATGGAAGTAATCCCAACAATTATATCTGATATAACAATCGACTACTAAACTTTTTTTTCGAATTAAGTATTGTTTTCGTGATTACCAGTAAATCGGTAATATGAGTTGTATGATTGCGGAAAAATTCAACTATCATTCTTTCTAGTCCGAAGTCGTCTGCCATAGCAGTTGTCATGATTCCCAGCATCTGACAGGTGAGTTCTACTAAGTCGCCCTGACAACAAGACCAAGTTGAGACAACAAGGTCATTCCATTTCTATAAATCGAAAGGAGACTGCGACCATACCAGAGGCCTTCATATCATTCTTTCATTGCCTTATGCAACCCTTATGACTGCGAAGTCTTTTTCCTTTATATAACTTGCACCGGATCTCATTACTCTGGGACCATCAACTAAACCTTGTTTAACTATCATTATATTCATGAAATCAACAGTAATCAGCTTCATGATTAGAAATAACTGATCGTAGCTGTTAGGAATTATTGAAGACGTAATTAAAATACCCTAACACTGGCTGAAGATGATGCCAGCCAGCCCTTTAAGAGGCTTGTTCGAGTGATGCTTTCATAAGAACTAAAATATGGGCCATTTTCTAAGTTGTATCATTGCCATTTGAAACTATTTTTCGGGGGCTCCATCGGGTAAAAGATATCTGCGATTCGGTTAGACAACCGGTTGTAAAGGTCGAATATGAAGATATGGCTTGCAGTATATTTATTTTGATTCGGTTTCGTAATAACTATCTATCTATCCATCTATCTTTACTATTTATCTGTTTACGTTATACATCTACATGCAAAGTCTGTAGGAATTGCCATTTATCTACATCTTTTTTATTCCCTTACCACTTGGAAATGATTCGACAACTACGCTGATTGGTCTCTTTTTCGCGACTCAGTCTCACGCTTCACTCGACTCAAGCCGATTCGGCAGCAACACTCAAGCCGAAATCCTGTTGGGAACGGCGACCGCTCTATTCTATCTCCATTCAACGGTTGTCGCTCAACTGAGACTGGTGATCCGCTCCTCTCGATCAACGGAACCGCAAGCTGCCAGACGGTGCTGTCTGGTCGACATGGCGCCATAGCGACAACTGGCGAACACGAGCCAGTCTCCGTGACGAACGAGATCGACTCGTTTGTGCGTCGGATGCCCTCGCTCTGCTGGGGCCCGGAACATGTGGAGCATTGGCTGACACGCTATGTCGAACTGCCGGGCGGCTGCCTCGAGGCGACTAAGCGTATTGCCATCGACGGCAAGCAGTTAATATCGCTTTCCGACTCCAAGGCCGAGAAGCTGTTGGTGCTCAAGTCAGTTATCTGTCATTTAATGCAGATTTATTACTACTCACTACTCGCCAGTTCTGTCTAATGGAGCTAGGGATTTCGCAACGAATGTGCAGAAGCAAAGCAATGCGACTTGACCAAGCTTCTCATCACTACATCTTTATTCTTACTGTCTACTTTTAGTTTATAATCCACATTTCACTCGTGAAATGCATTATAACTTCCCACATTTACTTGTAGATATACACGAAGGTCAAGATAGCGTGGCCTCTATCTTGATCGCAATGTCTTTTCGTTTTAGAAACGTTGTTTTACCTCATTTTTGCAATTCAGCTCAATTGCCAGGCCGGCCCCGATGAAAGCACCTTGTCCGCATTAGTTATGATAATTCCCAGCATCGGACCATGGACTTGGTATGTCTGGGAATGTACCAATTCCATGCTTCGACTCTAAATTATTATAGCTATTATAGGTGGCAACAAAGTCAAACCATATTAAACGTTTATTATTTCGCTATTCTCAATTATTGGTTGGCAATTTTATGTACCTGATCATCAAGTCGATTCTGTTTCTGTGCCTGTTTGCCTCAAAGTTCTTCGCATTCTCCTACAATCACCAGATCCGGTCTGTAACTGTATTCCACAGACATGATGACAAATATTGTGTTGTGCTCAACTCCTGTGCATGTTGATGGGCGTCTCGAAGCGGGAGAAATGACCTGGTTTTCATCGATTACCCCCTAATCTTGCTGGTAATTAATCTTGGCAACTGGAGGTCGGCTAGAGCATTTTCCTGCTCTTTAAGTCCCTTGTTCAGATAAGTAGTCATCAGTACTTGGGATATTCTTCCGGAAGTTATTAAGAAACGTTAAATATCCATTCATGGAAAATTAATGAGTGCTGTCTATGCATAATTGCCATGGTTTAGTCTTGCTTTTGCAACGTTGTCGGAGCGACCGTAAACTTGATACATTATCAGGCGTTTCGTTAACATCGTCAGTGTGAGACATCATCCTTAATACAGATTTACAACTTATTAGAAAATTTGTCCAAGGGATTGTCTTCACTTGCCACTTTGATAAGTTGTAAATTCGTGCTAATGATAGTGCCTCTAACCAATGATGCCGGCGTGACGTCCGGGATTGTACCAAGTCTACACTTCGATTCTGGAAATTATTATGACTACTCCGAAGGAGAGTGCAGGACTAAGTATGTTCCACAGGGTCAACCTATTTCTCCGGCAAAGTTGTGAAATCAAGGTCAAACTAACACCATACAACTAAAAGGGACTATGGCAAAACTCAAGAGTATACCTTCTTGATCTTCATATCTCCGATCTTTTAAATGCTGTTGTTCAGATTCTGATAGCATTGGTTTCAGGTTGATATCGTCACTTGATATACCATATTTTCCTTTAGCCAAGCGATCAGATGGATCATAAAGCCTCACCTGCCTTCGATATTTGAGTCTTATTCGAATCTCGCAACAACCTTTTCGGCGCGTTGTGTCGTCCCTTAGAAAGCGATGAACTTATTCAGCCTGTAGCGCTTATCTTGACCCAGTGTGTTTCTTCAATCTTGCCAATACTCAATCTAAACTTGATTATATTATTGTGCTTACTTCAATTTTGAGTTAAAGTCTGCTATAGGTAGATTTATAGATCGACGATTGACTTTACCCAATGTAATTTTTTTACTGCTACGTTTCTGTCGACACAGTCCTTGAGATATCCTCATTTGGTATAATTCTTGGGAGCACTACCGGCTAACAAGGCAATAGTTTACTCGGAATGGAAGTGAGTTCAATAATTGTGCATAAAGAGCCTTATCAATATGTAATTTTTCTTTAATTAGAGTTGTATTGCTATGGGATTCCTCTTTCATTTTACGGCTTAATATCGTATTTAAGCCAGCTGGGAATCCTTCTGTTGGGGCCCACTGGTTTCCAGTTGCTATATGCGCCAGAGATGTAATACAGAGTCTCCACATTGTTAGTGCTCACAAAAATTCTCCTTTTTTTAATTATTCAGATTACTTCTAAGCAATACATACTGAAAGTTTTTGTAAGGATAAAGTAGGCCATTTCGGATTATAGATATTTTTCATATCATTCACGTTAAAGAGATCGCTATCCTTCAAGATAATAATTGCAATCATTTTAAAAGCC